TTCACTAATAATTTCTGCGACTAACTAATATAATAGCAACTAAAAACTGACAAACGAAATATCCCTCTCCGTCCTTTTAATTACCCTTACAATTCCCCAATCCTATCTTTTCTAAAAAAAAAAAAAAAAAAGAAGAGAGAGAAAAAATACGATCTTTTCAACATAACATGAAACGTTACATTCCTTGCTCATCTCTTTCGCATAAAACGTGTTCTGTTCAATCGTTAAGCATCCTCTCCCCTCGCCCTAACGCACCTTTAATCCCGCCTATAGTTCAAACTAACGGTCGCCACTGCATTCTGCTGCCCCGGCCATGATTACCTTTCATCGGGAGTCAACAGTTACACGGCCGCTAATTCCGCTCGCTGGTGGAACTAGTTGTCGCTCATTACCGGCATCAAAGCCGTCATCGTGATACGCGCATCGTCCCCGACAGGGATCGTGAGTCTCGCCTCGCCGTTCCACCGAACTTCATCCACATAGCGTTTACTGCTATGTTCGTGTAAAAAGAAAAGAAAAAGAAAAGACGAAAGAAGAAAAGAAAGAAAGAAAGAAAGAAAGGAGAAAGAACGGCAGGGCGTTGTATCGATCACGAACGAATTATTGCAACGAGACGGACACTTTCCATATTCCAACGGCGTCATGGTAACGCGCGCCTCGTCGAAATTATGATAGTCCATTGTTCATAGATACCATTATTACCATTATTACCAAGGTATCATTATCGACAGACTGATCGGCATTCATATTCATGGCGGCCCGATAACGGTGGATCTAAACGAGAGAGAGCGAAAGAGGGCCATCATCGCAACGAAGATCGTTCGTTTTAGCGTCAATCACGTCCCCCACGGCTGATCAGGGGATGCGGTTACGTGTGTTTATCCTGGGATGCGTATTCATGAAACGAATCTGGAATATCGGGAAATGGTGGAGACGAAAAATTGGATCGAAACGAAGTTGACGAAAGCTTGATCTGGAGAAAAGATTGAAATTATCGTTGCGGAAGTGGAAAATGTTTTGGAATTCGAGAATTTTTGGGAAGAAGAAACGGATGATAAAATCGTTAAAAAAATTTCAACAATTCGTACGCATCGTAACCTAAACTCCATAGTTTCGACGGTTCGAACACGCGATGAATTTAAGCCATCCAAAAATTTCCAACCTCCGCCATTCTTCACCCGCGAATCCCGATTATTCGCACACGTTCCAAAATCTCGATCACCTACCCTCGAATTCCTCGAATATTCCCCTTGAAATAAAGCGAGATACAAATTATATACGACGAGTTAGAATCGGTCGATCTAATATCGGATTATTATCGAAGTGAATAATATAAAAACTTCTTACACTTACATTTCAATTTCATTGAAAAATAACATAATAACATTTTTTAACAATGAAGTATAATTCATTACAATACACGATACTCTTTAAAACAAACAATAATTTCAACAGAATCGATTACTTTATACGCAAATATCATCCTAATATCATCGACAATCAATTTCGTTTCTATCTCAACAAAACGCGTATCCAACATACATACATAATTAAAATAAAAAAGAAAATATATATATATACACAATCATTTAACCATTCTCACTCGATACTTTATACACCTGTTTAAATCAACTGTTTCATATGCAACAAGCTAAACGGGACCGATGCCATCCCACCATTACCCTAAACACACATTTGTCCTCGGCCAGATGTACAACGGCGGAACAACACCTCTGATTGCTTAACGACGTCGACGAAAACATCCGGCGCCCCTCGATCTGCATAAAGAGGGGGGCGGGCGGTGAGACGACCGCGAGAGTGTGCGTGTGGCAATAATGTCGTGAGTTTCGTATGTCGGGTTTATTGCGTATAGGGCGGCCACGAGAGGAGACTTAATATCGTCGGGTGTAATGCACGGCCGCAATATCTCGTGCCGCATATCCTCGTCTCGTCCTCGCCTCGTTGTTTCGTTTCCGCGGCGGCGATCCGCGCTGACACGGCGGGAATCGCGTGCACGAATTCGTGACGATCGATCGATACGCGAGCCCACACACGTCCTTGTTAATACGCGCGGGGAAATTGGAAGCTGTCGATACGCGGCACGAGTTTCGTTTTCCACTTGATGGAGAGACTATTTTTGCCCGTTTTCGGTCTATGATGCGGTCGGGTTCGGCCCAAGGAATCGTACGTCGGATGGATCTTGACAATTTTTTTTTTTTTTTCAAATCAGTAGTACTAATCGCGCACAATGGATGCGCGATGTTGGGGAGAATTTTGAGTTTTCAGTTTCGATTAGGATAGGGGAACTGGATAAGTTATACGGTTGTATTGTAACTAATATCGAAACTAATATCTATACGATACGCTAACCTAAATCCAATCCACGATCAAGAACGAGCCACTCCAATAATCCTCCCCTACGAATTTCTCATTTCCATTCCACTTCATCCACCTACCACGTGCGAACTTCTATCTAAATTACGAACTCGAAGAGTGAAGAGAGAGAGAGAGAGAGAGAAATTGCCTGGAAAATCGGATACAACTTCTCGATCGTGGAAATCGTTCGAAGGATCCATCATCCGGTCTCGTTCGATATATCGAACAAGCAGGGGAATCGACACTTGGAACTCGCTCGTGATGTTCCCTCTTACTCCCTCCTCCTCCTCTTCACGATTCCCGGGGCTTTGTGTGTTTTGACGGGGGTGTTAACTGACCCCGTGGAGGCGGCGTGGAGGAGGGTTGTGCTCAAGAGCAGAAGAGGGTGGCATTAGGTCGAGGTCACCAGGACGCCGAAGCGATCGATGCAGCCCGCCAGGCACCACCACCACCACCACCCACGCTCTCCGCAACCCTCTCCGCTTTCTCCCTTCCTCCAGATCTCTCTCTCTCTCTCTATCTATCTCCTCTCGAGACCGTTATCTCCGATTCTACATCTCTCTCTCCCCTCCTCCCCTTCCTCCAACCGAGCTCATTATGTCTCTATTTACGTCTGGATGCATTTAAGCAAAAGACGGCGTGGAAAAAACTCGCAAGCTTGTTCAACACGTGGATGCTCCACATTCGGGATCAGCTGTTTTCCCCGGGGCTTCTGGATATTACGTTACGCTTCCACGGTCGAGATGAATACGAGCTTCGACGGTATTTCGAGCGGTACGTGGGAGAGTGATTAAGATCGAGGGAGGGGAAAATTGGTACGGAACGAGTTTCGAATTTACATCGAGAGGGATGGATCGATCGATTTTTTCAAGAAGAAGAAACGTATCGGCGGTCGTCGTGAATCGGCCTTGATTTCTTAAGAGGAATATTTCGAGAAGTGTTTCGAAGCTGTACAGATGCTTTTCAAACAGTTTCCAATCACCGTTTCGATCACCTTTTCGAGTCGAAACGAGTTGAAACGCGTAAATAGAAGGAAAGAAGTTAAATAAAATTCTCGCACCTTTATAGACCCGCGAAATGAGAACAGAACCTTCTTAAAAAAAAAAAAAGACTTATTTATCCGTTTATCCGAAAGCGTCGATCGAGCATATTTCGTAAAAGATTATAAATATTCGTATGAGAGAGAGAGAGAGAGAGAGGGAGGTTAAATAACATAAAATCAGCGGGCAAAAGAAACGACTCGAAGCCACTCACCGGTGCTCGTAATTTCGACGAGCTCGTAAACTCACGGGGGATAGAGAAGCCACTCCTCCCCTCTCTCCCGATAACCTCCCCACCAAGAACCGTGGAAATGGATCCGTCACGGCCGATTACCAATCCTGAACCCGCGTCTCCATTCGAATTCTTGGCGAGAATAATTTTCATCCGAGGAGGGGAGGGGAGGAGGAGGAGGAGGAGAACAGACGAGGGTCGTGGAGACAGACGCCACGCTCGCTCGCTGTTTGGTTTCCAAGGGTCTCCTCTCTCTCTCTCTCTCTCCGCGACCGCAACCCTCTCCGCTTTCTCCCTTCCTCCAGATCTCTCTCTCTCTCTCTATCTATCTCCTCTCGAGACCGTTATCTCCGATTCTACATCTCTCTCTCCCCTCCTCCCCTTCCTCCAACCGAGCTCATTATGTCTCTATTTACGTCTGGATGCATTTAAGCAAAAGACGGCGTGGAAAAAACTCGCAAGCTTGTTCAACACGTGGATGCTCCACATTCGGGATCAGCTGTTTTCCCCGGGGCTTCTGGATATTACGTTACGCTTCCACGGTCGAGATGAATACGAGCTTCGACGGTATTTCGAGCGGTACGTGGGAGAGTGATTAAGATCGAGGGAGGGGAAAATTGGTACGGAACGAGTTTCGAATTTACATCGAGAGGGATGGATCGATCGATTTTTTCAAGAAGAAGAAACGTATCGGCGGTCGTCGTGAATCGGCCTTGATTTCTTAAGAGGAATATTTCGAGAAGTGTTTCGAAGCTGTACAGATGCTTTTCAAACAGTTTCCAATCACCGTTTCGATCACCTTTTCGAGTCGAAACGAGTTGAAACGCGTAAATAGAAGGAAAGAAGTTAAATAAAATTCTCGCACCTTTATAGACCCGCGAAATGAGAACAGAACCTTCTTAAAAAAAAAAAAGCTTATTTATCCGTTTATCCGAAAGCGTCGATCGAGCATATTTCGTAAAAGATTATAAATATTCGTATGAGAGAGAGAGAGAGAGAGAGGGAGGTTAAATAACATAAAATCAGCGGGCAAAAGAAACGACTCGAAGCCACTCACCGGTGCTCGTAATTTCGACGAGCTCGTAAACTCACGGGGGATAGAGAAGCCACTCCTCCCCTCTCTCCCGATAACCTCCCCACCAAGAACCGTGGAAATGGATCCGTCACGGCCGATTACCAATCCTGAACCCGCGTCTCCATTCGAATTCTTGGCGAGAATAATTTTCATCCGAGGAGGGGAGGGGAGGAGGAGGAGGAGGAGAACAGACGAGGGTCGTGGAGACAGACGCCACCGCTCGCTCGCTGTTTGGTTTTCCGTAACGGTACGTCCTCCTCTCTCTCTCTCTCTCTCGCGACGATCCCCCTTTCCTTCCGTTCCTTTGTTCTCCTCGTAAATGCCCCGGTCGTTTTGAGCATCGAACCGATCGTTTGTCCGCCTTTCGCACTCTCAACGATCTTAACCCCTCCAAAGATCAACGTTCTGCGATGTCGGCCGCTCTCCGAGTGCTTTCTGCGTGACCGTGCCATGCGACTCGTACCATGCGAACAGGTTTAACGCGTTATGACGTGAGTACCACGCTTTTGGATGCGTCGAGACGATCGATTTCGCGAACGAGAGAGGCGTCGTGTCTTTGAAGAGTATCCCTTTAACCTTTTGCGAGGATGGATATATGGAAATCGAGAAAAAAAGAGAGCCTTCTTTGGTTAAATTTTATCGATTTATTCGTGGAATTGGTTATGTTCGCTGTTCTCCTAACTTTCGTTGGGATAATCGATCGGATCTTCTTCGAAAGATTTGCATTGATCCGTGATCGATGATTATTCGCTCGTAAGGATTCAAGGTTTTTAATGGAAAGATGATGGGTGATATTTCCAGGAGGAATCTAGAACTCCTATATCCAGTGAAGACGATTCTTGCCTCTACTCGGAACTCGATCTCTTAAATCCAAGGTATCGGTCAGATTTGTTTCCAAGAAATTCAAGGAACGCGCGTAAGAAAGAGGGGGACGTACGAGAGATATTTTTTTCAGATATTCTTCCCAAAAATCGGTGCCCAAGTGTCGCGATATCAAAGGAACGAAGGTTAATTCGCCGAATCTTTTGAAAACATCCTCGAGGGATTCTGATTACTGTTGTTGTTTCACGCGCAGCGATCACGTCGAGACAAAATTACGTAAGTGATGTAAGTGTAACTGGAAGCCAGGTATGTAATTCCCTCAGACGTTAACTTAAACGTTAGTCTATTCCAAATATGTTTCAGTAACCAAGAAAGTAGGTAGAAAATATCGTGCGTCGAGTCTTCAATATTTTCCAGATTACAATCGAAAGAAGCATGAGGTAATAGACGATGCCTGTTTCCTAAAAAAAAAAAAAAAAGAAAAAATATCGAACGGCCCTTTGTCGAAAACTCGCGACGCGAGTTCGTTAGAAATAACTGTCACCGTGACAGAATCGTAACCGTGTTTACAAGCGTCCATTTACGTCACTCCCCGTCACGTACGTATCGGGTTTTTCCGGGGTAAAAATATCTAGAATCGAAAAATGCTTCGAGGTACATTTCGGGCTTTGAACTTTAAACCATTTTTTCTCTTTTTTTTTTTTTTTGTTGTTGTATCGATGATCGTATAGCAGTTTTTTTCAAAAGGATTTTTGTCACGGATCGAAACGAGCAACGAGCAACACAGATAATTTGAACGGAAGGAAACGAATTAATAGAAATATAAAAATTGATTTCGAACGAATATATAAAGGAGTTTTATTTCTACTTGCTTCGTTATAAATAACAACGATATTTGGATTAAAAGAAAAAAAAAAATTCCATTTCCACGAACGATTCGTGAGGAGTTCTCCCTTTTCACTTTTGAAAAATCAATTCGTTTCGCGAAGAAGGGTGAAAAAGGATCGTGAACGAAGCTACGACAATGAAAATATCGATAAAAATAATCGAATACGAGTAAATAAAGGTCGTCGCGTATTTCTATCCTGTTATTATTACTATCGCTATATACTCCAGGTAACTTTTGCCACGGAAAGGTCTTCAAGCGGATGCGAGGATCTTAGCGGGAAGTCTTCGGCGAAACTTGGGTAATTATCGGAGTAAAAGTTGGGCGTGCATGCTTTTAAATCACGCCCAATGCCAATCGGTATAATCGACACCTAATGTACACCCTTAACAACAGGAGGGAAAGAAGCACGCCGCGAATAATACGAGCGATCCGCCAACGCAGCAAAAAATGTAAGTTGCCGTAAGATCAAAATTCATTTCCAATTTCCGCGCGTTCAAGTTTCGGGGCCGATTTTATCAATTCCATCCGATATGATATCTACTCCCAATATATTGCGAATAATTAAATAATTAAAAATTAGAATACCTGAACAATGAAATCAATTCCAATATGATATCTGCCCCCAATATATTGCGAATAATTAAATAATTAAAAATTAAAATATTTAAACTACGAAATCAATTCCATCTAATATGATATCCACTGCCAATATATTGCGAATAATTAAATAATTAAAAATTAGAATACCTGAACAACGAAATCAATTCCATCCGATATGATATCCACTGCCAATATATTGCGAATAATTAAATAATTAAAAATTAGAAGAACAAGATCAAAATCGCGCGTTCGAGTTTCGGGGCCGATTTCATCAATCCCATCCGATAATAATAATATCCACATCGAATAACGTAGCAATTCGACTCGCGTATAGAAATTTTTCAAAACATTCTTTTCCTCGTTGTTTATAGCGGCCCCATGATTCTGGTCACCTCCTCAGCCCTGAAACTCGTTCGCGTGGCTCGATCCGCTGGTCTGCCTCCCACCCCCTCCCCCCGTACTTGTTCCTCTTTGCTCTTCCTCGGCAAAAGCGGGCGAGGAGAAAGGAGGCGGCTCGAGCGCGGTCACCGTCGCCGTCGTGATCGAGGTTTTAATCGTCCGTTTGGATCGGGGGGGTCCGGTTCACAGCCGTGGCGGACGAGGATCGATCGGAATCGCCGCGGCCCGGAAACAGCAAGAGCAGCGTTGTCGTCCTCTACCACGAGAGATCGGTGGTTCCGGCCGCAACATCCCCCGAGCCGCCGCCCCTCAGAATCACCCACTCGGAAGTGGCGGTTCCGCGCGAGCCGAGTCCATCGGTGATCCACACCGCGCGATCCCAGCGCCAGGAAAGGTAATTATCGCGCTTAATGACTCCGGATCACTGACTCGAGCAATAACGGGAATTCCTACTAATCGCCAATTCGACAATTCGATCGTGATCGCGGAATAAACTTTGGTCGATTCTACCGATCGAGGCCGCGAAACTAACTTTTGCTTAATATTCCGTAATTGGAAGCGAGGCGATGACGCGGAATTTTTGGAAGGGAAATTTGAAAGTTTTTGCGAAGGAAAAAGCCGATTAAATTTCCAATTATTTGGAAGCGCGCAAAAACGATCTGATGGACGAGAAAGTTCGACTCTTCGAAACGAAATTTTCGAAGGAATCCCGTGAAATTTCTTCTCTCTCTTTCCTACGGACAGATTGAATCAGGACGAAACATCGGAGGATCGATCTCCTGTATATCCAGCGGAGCGGAGAAAAGCTACTTTGAGACGACGTCGGCGTTTATCGAAGCGGCAAAGACCGGTGAACGTGCACATTTATCAGGACAGCCGCGTGGTCCAGGTCGGCTCTTTGTCGGAGAATCATCGTTTCGCGTCCAAGGGGTTGCATCTCCAAGATCAGAGATCCGATTTGGCTAGATACACGATCAACTGCGGGAAAAATTTGATCAGATCGGAAGACGATACGTCCACTCGACAGGACGACGATTCGGATGATCCCGAACGAGACATAAGAACGGGCGAACAGTGGAAACACGATAGAAGCTTCTTCGGGGAACGATGTCGTCCCTCTGATAATCCTGTTTCGAAACTAATGGCTCATTCCAGGTAACGAGATTACGGCGTTACGCTTTTTATAAAGATCGGTCTTCTTTTCCGAAACGTCGTCAAATTGCGAACGTTGTTAAGCGGAGCAACAAAGTTTGACAAAGTCGAACGATAACTCGAGAAATTTGAGATTGAGTACGGAATATAATTTATCGAACGAACGTATCGAATTTACACCGCGATAATCCTCGATAATAATGTCAAATGTCCGTATAAATTGCAACGTTTATAATCATCAGACGTAATATTCGATATCCCTTTCCATTAGCCTCGGCCAAATTACTATCCACCACGAGCACAACACACGATTCGTATACGATTCGTAATCGTAGCATTTACTACGTTCATTATTATAGATCACGCTATAAATTGTATTCGACGTTAATGTAGCGTATATATTGAAACCGTGCCTGTATCGAATTCGATATCGATGATAAAAAAGAAACGCAAGAAATACGTAATTGACGACGAAGAACGTTTCGAAAAATACGTTGTACAGTCCAGGACGAGACGGTGATTGCAGCCAGTGCAAGAGAGAATCTGTGTGTCCGAACTTGGCCTATCTAATGCAGCAGATACAGTCACGACCGAGGGAACGGGGTGACGATCGCGCATTCATCAGCATAAACGACGGCGAGAATTCGAAGCGAGTTTTCCCGTTCCAATCGACTCCAAGCGGTAACCTGAAGATCCTTCCGAATCAGGTAAATGTCCCGATCGATCGTCGCTACATCCGTGGAACCCTTAGGAATGTTGGCCTCAAGGCAGACGCATAGTCGTTTTAGGTGGTGTTCGAATCGAAGAAGGTGAGCGTATTGGTCGCCGACCCAAAGCACACCAAGATCAACGTGAAGGCCGAGCTGAGTAAATCGGGGAACGAGCTTGGTGGATGCGTGTCCGATTGTTCCACGCATCCGAAACCGATCGATCTTCCGTTAAGTGTATCGTCGTCGATGATCAATCAGTTGCAAGTAAATTTCACGTCACGCATCCGGTTTTTATTAAAAGTGTATCGAAACAATTGTGCGCGAATAGTTTCAATCTCTTTACGAAACGGATCTTCGTAACAGAGATTAGACGCGAGGTAGATATTCAAATTTAATTTCTAACGAGCAACAAGATAGCTTTTAACTCGACTTTTAAAAAGAAAAGCGTTTTAACTTTAAAGTTATCACTGTTTGCATATCTTCGAAACAGACCCACAAAAGGTTACCAACACCCGAGGACGAGTATAAATCCACGATGCACCCGTTCAAAGCGAAGATCGGCCAAGCGGAGACCACGGAGCAGAAACAGTCGACGTCCCGTGAACCGTCGGTGTTGCAGGAAGTGCCACTCTCCGCGTGAGTTTTTAAAGTCGAGTCCAGAATCGATTCCTCCTCCGACCGAGTCGAACCCCTTTCGAAAAGGAACCAGTCGACGTAATTTTCGCGAGAAAAGGAAAGAAAGAAAGAAAGGAAAAACGATTTATAAGTCTCGTTCTAAGAGACTTTCGTATATATGAAATTACGTCGAGCTGTTTCGACGAGTTAAGGGAAGGGGTGTCGATTTCTTTTGGCTGTCGATCTGTTTCTCAATAAACGGTTGATCGCGGGTGTAATTTCGAACAGACTCGGATTTACGGGCGAGCAACCAATCGATTGGAGTAACATAATTCTCCCGGAGAAGACTGACCTGTATCAGGAGTTGGCAAGGCGTATCACAAATTACAAGTAAGCTTATAGTTGTGCCCGATCGATGTAACCAAGTCGGGCATCGACGAGGCGGAGGGGAGGGATTACGGGCTTAAATTTCATCCGATCGATCTTTCGAGGAACGCCGACTGTATCGTGCGAATCGATCAGGACGAGTTCCATTGCCACTTGCTCGTGCTTCAGAGCTACAGCACCTTTTTCGACGAGAGGAATTACAAGGAGATCGATCTCACCGGGGTAAGTTATCGGAATTTTTCTTTCATCCCCCTTTTCCCGCTGGGAATCGCGGACACCTGTGCATTACCCGTGTCGAGGGAACAAAAAGATCCAACGTGTGTGTGTCTTCTCGTTCGAAAGGTTCGATTTAAGAAGCTCGTTGTTCCATTACACCTGAATAGATGATATCGACGCAAAGATTTTATCCTCTAAAGATATCACCACGCGTTTAAGTATATATATATATTTATCTTTGAATTTCTTCGATCGAACGAAAGAGAGAGAAAGAGAGAGAAACTCTCTTGTTATTCGATCAATTAATCACTCGTGACAATTCAACTTTTATCCCATTTAATTTCTTCAAACCCAATTCCTTCCATTCCTTGGTCGAAGGAATCCTGCGAGCGACAGAACGATCAGACGCGATTTTTCCCTTCCTTGTTACCATTTATTCAAAGAGTATGAAAATTTCTCCAGTCCAGCTTTCACCACCGTCATCGATCTTCATCGTTTAACGAGCAGCGTTAAACGAGTCGTAACCACTGCCGACCGTTTCGGTGTTATCTTCCAAGCTGTCGTATCGTCCCACGCGCAATACGATAGCGAGTTAAGGATGTCGTATCGGGGTGTCCTTTATTTATTACGACGCGACAGAGTTTGCCTGAGAGGAAGAGGAAAAAAAAAAAAGAACGAGATGCAACGTTACACCAACGGTAGAAGTGAGAGAAGATGTATTACGGATTCGTCGATACGCAGATTACGGATTGAAATAAAGTCCCTTTGTTCGCGCGATCCGATTTTCCGCCTTCTTCTCTTCTCGCGGATGCGATGTATCGGTTCGATCGAATCCAGTGGGCGTTCATCTTCGCAGACCTTTTCTCCTCTCTCGTTCCTCCTCCTCCTCTTCCTCCCGTTCTTTTTCTAGAACGATTTTTTCGATAAAGTGACCGATCCCATAAAACTTTATAGGCCGTGGAATACACTCCGTTTGACGAAAAATTCGTAGATCGCGATGTCGAGGTCGATAAAGTTGAGGAGTCGAGGACGATTTATACCGATTTCGAGCAGAAGCTTTCCAGCAAAATTTAAAAATTCAATATTTTCAATATCTCACTTTTGTTATTATAAAGTTAATTGTTTTAAACAGTCGATAAATATCCTCGTCGGGTCGCGTAATTTATTCTCCACGTTCAGAAAGAATAAATTTCATAAATCATGAAGATTTAAGCAACTCGCGTATTCCATATCCACCTTTGGCCATCCATAAATTATTTTCGTTCGTTCGTTCGATAATGACAACTGTCGAATAAATATACGATCGTAGGAGTCGAGACTCTCTCTCTCTCTC